GTAAGACAACTTCCCTCCTCAGGTGAGGATTAGATGAAATAAAGCACATTTAACATTGAGAATGGTGTCTGGCACACAGGACCCCCCCCCCTCACCTAATTGATGCTTACAAACTTTCTTTTGGTTCAGCAGGCTGACTTACCTCAAGGGTGCCCAAGTCCCTGGAGGGAAAATACCAATGAGATCAAAGGCAACCAAGAAGACAGGACATTTGAGGTGGGTTGGGGTAGCCAGGTGGCCTGCCAGGACTTGGGTTACCTCTTCCTTTATTCCTAAGTCCTTCTCTGTAAACACAGGGCAGCTCCAGAGAGACCAACCATGGCTTCTCAGACCTGGGCATGGCCCCATTTTTGTTTATGTCCTAGGTCTGCACCCAGGTTCTAATTTGGAAATTGGATGCTGGATCTTCTATGCCTCCTAAGTTCTGCTCATTTTATCTTCAAAACATCAATCTGTCCCTTTCCCTTTTGTCTCTAGGACAAAAGTAGCTAGGTCAGAATTCAATGGTTTTTCTTGAAATGTGAGGGCCCGGGGAGAAAAAAAAAATCCTGCCAATACAGTTTATAGGAATCCCTTCCCCTTTCTCAGGCCAGTTTCTATGCCCAAGCCAGAATGTCACAAACATATTCCTTGCTGAGCTTCCCCAGGCATTAGGTACTTGGTATTTGGGGACCTTATGAATCCAGACTTTTTATTATTCTGTTGTTCTTCACACTCCAGCCCATGCTCAAGAAAATCTCACCACTCTGAAGAAGCCATGTTCTTTACCTTTTATTAAACCTTTTCCTTCCCAATAATGAAAGTCATTCAGGCTCACTATAGGAAAGACCATGCAGGAAAAAATCTAACCATCTAACCAATCTATCCTTTCAGTCTTTTCTATGCATGTACATTTTAGAAAACAGCTCTGTAGAATTTTTATACCTTGTATTATTCATTTACTGTTACTGTGACCATCTTCTCGTTATCATTATTCTTGCTGAGGGTGATAAAATGAAGGAGATAGGTGATCAAGCCTGCCAAACCTCAGAGAAGGAAGACCACAAGGAAGAAGTGGGATTACCTGGAAGTTTGTTATAATAACATGACTCCCTTTTCTCCCATTTCAAGAGAAACACTTAGTAACATTTGAATCACACACAAAAAATATCAGAGGATTTTTTGCCAAGGAAATGTTAAGTACTCCAAGCAAAAGATTCTGCATTCTGGTATTTAGAGGTCTCCAGGGAAATAGTTTGCTCTTTATCAGTCACTCTAAAAGAAAGCCTTTATTTAGTGGATAAATCCTACTTCTACAGAGGTCTTAATTGTTTTTTTTTCTTTTTTTTAATGCTTAGATGGGGTCTTGCCCAGGCTGGCTTTGAATTTCTGGACTCAAGCAATTTTCCTGTCTCAGCCTCCCAGGTACCTGATTACAGATGTGTGTCACCATGCCTAGCTTTTAACTGAACTTTTTTTTTTTTTTTTGGTTATAGATAGACACAATATCTTTATTTATCTTTATGTCATGCTGAAGATCATGCCTCACAGGTGCAAGGCAGGCACTCTACCACTGAGCCCCAGCCCCAACTCTTCAACTGAACTTCTGACACATGCACATGAGAGAATATGTGTATATCAGTAAGTACCAGAACATACATACGAAAATCCCCAATGAGAGTAAACTAAACAAAAAAAGGACTCAGGGGAAGATACATAAAGTGGGACTAGGGGGTATATCTTAGTGGTAGAGCACTTGCCTGGCATGACCAAGAAATGGGTTTAATCCCTAATGCTGCCAAAAAAAACCAAAAAAACCTTAGAGAAATTTGAAAGGTTCTCTAAAATGAGATCAGTATGTTACCAAAAAACAAAGGAAAGAAAGAGAAAAGGCTCTTAGGAATTTAACTTATTGACATAAACATTTTTAAAAAATCTTAAATGCTGGGGCTGGGGTTGTGGCTCAGCAGTAGAGCACTCGTCTAGCACGTACGAGGCACTGGGTTCAATCCTATCACCACATAAAAATAAATACAATAAAGGCATTGTGTCCAACTTAAAAAAAAAAATCTTAAATGCTGAAAAATACTCAAGGTATGCCACCAGAAAGTGGCACAAGACAAGGATGTGGAAACAAAGGAAGCAGTGAGGATCAATCCAAAAGGTCCAACATTTTATTGACAGGAATCCACAAGGAGTAAAAACAGGAAAAAAAATGTGAAGAAGGAATTATCATGTAAATAACAAGAAGTCTTCTAAGAGAAGTACCCAAGTTACTATATTAAAATTTCTCAATGCATTAGGGAACTGAATACACCAAGGAAAAGACAAGACTAAAATTTTGAGGCATGGGAGTGTGGGAACAGATCACTGTATTATAAATACCATTGATTCTCCAGGGAATGAGAATCAGGCTGGACTCAGACCTCTCATTAGCAATAGTGGATGCTCTAAGTCAGTGATGTTTTGACCACTTCTGAGGAATTTTTCTACCTAAAATCCAAGATTCAGTCAAACTACCAATCAAGCATGAGGTCTTAGAAGTCTGATATGGACAAGGACTCAACAGCTTTGCCTTCCGTATACTCTTTGCCAAATTATTTGAAGATGTGCTGCAATGAAATGAGGGAGTAAAGACAGGATGATAAGGAATTCAAGAAACAATGGAGCCTAGTAGAAGATGGTAAGCAGAGAGAACATCCATGCCAAACTACAGCAGGAGGTGTGAGGTACCTAGAAGGGAAATAAACAGGAGGAATGTGGGGGGGGTACTTAAGAGATATATCTAATTGATTGGAAAATTTGTAAATGACTGAAGATGTGCTGAAAGCAAACAGAACAAAGTAAAAAGAAAGTCAACTAGAAATTTCAGTGAAAACAAAAAGTTGCCCCAAAAAGAAATACAAAGGTCTAGATTGAATAATATTCACATGATCATAGTAACATTCATACTTCTTATTTTTAACTTTTAGACAAATCAAAGCATAAAAGAATATAGTTACAGAACAGTACTTTAGAATTATCAGACTTGACAATGTCAGAAGTAAGGAGGAAGAGGGAAGAAGGGAAAGAGTACATCCAACATTGAATGCAATGGGGAACTGAGATAGTTCACAATTAATGCAATAAAATTAAATATGTAAATATAATAACTTATTTTTCTTGACTATAAAGTTGTTTCTTATAGAAATTATGGAAATTACTTTTTAAAAAACTGTTTAATTACCCATACTTCTGTTATCCCGGGACCTATGTTTGAGTCTACCCTCTAAAATTTACCATCTGTATGGCTGTGAAAAAAGTCACTGAACCACTTATGTTTTCTTGTATTTCATTCAGGTAATGTGTCTAAATACTTTTAATAGTATTTAGTCAGTATAAGTAATAACAGAAGTTGAGAAGTGTACTACACATACAATTTTAAATAAAAAAAAAAAAATTTTTAAAACCAGGGATTGAACCCAGGAACACTAACCCTTAACCACTGAGCCACATCCTCAGCCCTTTTTAATTTTTATTTTGAGACAGGGTTTTGCCAAGTTGCTTAGGGCCTTTCTAAATTTTTGAAACTGACTATGAGATTGCAATCCTACTGCCTCACACTCTTTTTTAAAAAATATTTTTTAGTTGTTGATAGACCTTTTATTTTATTTATTTGTATGTGGTGCTGAGGATGGAACCCAGTGCCTCCCACATGCTAGGCAAGCGGGCTACCACTGAGCCACAGTCCCAGCCTCAGACTCTTGATCCGCTGAGCAGAGTTTTTTTTTCTCTTTAAAACTTAAAATTTGGGCTATCGTTGTGGCTCAGTGGTGGAGCGCTCAACTCACACGTTTGGGACCCTGGGTTTGATACTCAGCACCACATAAAACAATAAATAAGTGAAATAAAGGTATGAAAAAAAAACGTAAAATCTGGACACATACCACCATATCATGTTTTTTTGTACTTCTAAATATATTTCACATGCCCTTGTCCACAGACAGTCAAAGGTTTCCCAGTGATGGGGAACTGAACCAAATCTTAGGGAAGCAGGAGGAATTGGATAGGAAGAAGAGGTGGTAGGGTGTTAGAGGCACTGTGGAAGGAGTGAGCAAAGGCACAGAGAAGAGCAAGCAAATGCCTCTAGGCTTTAATAAAAGGTATGAGGGACATACAGAGATAAGGCTGGAAAGAGATTATGAGGGGCTCAATAAATGATGTCACAGTAACCTGACATTTTTCACATGAGACACACCAGGATTAGTAGACCTTATTTGCTTTGGCACTCCGGGATCTTCTGAAGGTATGTCAAAGGACACACACTATTTTCTTAATGAACAAGTGATACATAGGAAACCAGAATGTCTCCTGAGAATTTCATCTGGGTGCTCCAAGTAGCGGGTGTAATGCCACAGGGAAGAAATTGGGAGAAGCAAGATTTAAAGGCTGTATTTGGCAATAGTCTTAAGAGATAACCATAATCTGACCTCCGTTTTAAAAAGCCACACAGGTGATTATGCAGTGCAACTTCAGGTGATATGTTAAGCCCTACAGATCCATGGATTTCCTTCAGGGAGCCTGCATGACACTACAAAAGAACATGAAGTTCAACAAGCATTTCTTAAGGGAAAGTATTCACAACCTTCATGAGATTCTCAAAGGAGCTGCAACTGCAGGAAGGTTAGGCACACTGGATGAGGGAACAAGTGAACTGTCAGATGTAAGAGAGGGATAACTGTCTAGGTAGGGAAGGAGACTCAGAACAAAGACCTCTTCTGGAGCCTGGAAGAATCCATGGTTAATGATCCTGAGAGTAAATGTACGTGCATATGCTTATGCATGTTAGGGACTGTTGAAGTCTTTCTCCTGGGCTCTCAAACTACCTTTAGTGATTTCATTATCAGTCTTTCATCATTGTGCTCCACTTAAGACACATCTATTGGTCTCCTTTGTGACAGATTTCCTGGCTTTTTGTTTTTGCAGTACTGGGATTGAACCCAGGAGTGCTCCAGCACTAACTTACAGCCCCAGCTCTTTTTATTTTTTATTTTGAGACAAGTCTCATTAAATTGCCTGGGCTAGCTATGAACTTGCAATCCTCTTGCCTCTAAGTTTCCAAGTAGTGGGACTACATGTGTGTGCCTCCATGAAGAGCCTCTTGCTCAATCTTCATGCCAATCACCAGACAAGGAACAGAGCTTTTAAATAATTAAAGTATGATAACTCTTAACAACTTTGGGAAATGGAACTTTGGAATTCTCAACCACTTCTAACAAGACCAGCTAATGGAGAAGGGAACAGAAAAACCTAAGCCAACTTCAACAACAAAGGGTGATCATTCTTCCCCTATTAGAAACTGTAAGGAAAATTGCAGGTTATAATTTATTTTGAAAGTTATAAGTAAATTGGGAAGAGTTGTTGTTAGTAATCTACTTGGCTCACACCATTTGGGTAGGATTGAAGGTCTTGAATCTGGATGTGGGATTGTGTAAAGCCAGATCTGAACATGAAATTTAAGCAGAAGCATAAGAAGTCATAATATATACATAAAAATGTGTTTTGCAACGCTTGGTTTTCACATATAAATAAAAAAGTTTGGTATATTCTCTTAAATACAAATAAGGTCACATAATCCAAGCAACTGAAGTTTGGCAGGGGCACTGAAGGACACCTAATCGAGCTAATGCAGAGTAACTGTTCTGTTTTGCTAAAACTGTACATGCAGATCCTTACACTGGAGCCTCCTTCCCACCTTTGATCATACATTATATGCCTGTAGTAGCTCCTAACTTTGGCAGCACACTGCATTCCCCTCCGGGGTTTTAAAAAATAATGAGGCATGGACATGGCAAGTTTTTAAAGTATGCTGGGTGATTCTAACATGCGACCAAGGTTGAAAACCATTCCTTTATTTCAAGCTGAGTCAGTGATTCCCAAACCTACCTTTGCATCAGAATCACTTGGGTGACTTTCCACCTAAGAATGGAAATCTTTAGCCAGGATATTACCATCATCCATGAATAGAGGATTTGAACTTGTCTTAATGGTCATAAAGTATGGTCATAAAGTACCCTTTGGTCTCTTGGGTCAAGTTCACAAAGCCATCTCAAACCCACAGACTGGCTTTCTTGACATTCTGAGCTTCCTGATCAGGCAGGGGGAAAAAACTAACTTGTTCCTAATCTCAGCAAAGAAACTTGGTTTATCCTTGGGGGTCTGCTCCTAGACAGAGAGCAGGAACAGTCACCGTTAGGGTCAGTGAGGACATGAGTATTTTTTATTCCTATTTTTGAATTCTTTTTATTTCTTGTATTTGTATCTCTAGAGTGAAAGTGGGAAACAACAGTGCATGTACTTTCACAAAAGATTTCTTGAAAGAGGAAAACAATAAGCTTTCTTCTGTATATGAAAATGCTCTGTAAATTAGAAAACACTATGTGATTTATATTATTTAGTCTTATAGAAAAAAGACAATAAAAGCATGGAACTTCTTCAGAGAGTTGCACCAGACTGCTTATCACCAGGCTCAGTGTTTATAATATACACTACTGGAATGTCACTGGAATGGGGTCAGGAGACAGACCCAGAAATCAAGAGACCAAAATTCTAGTACTAGATTCGCTACTCTTGGTCACATCACCAAAAACACACCCCAAAATCTATCACTTCAGTTTCTTCACCCAAAAATGAGACTACATACCCTTTCTCAGGCTCCCTCACAGGTCTGGATGAAGGTTAAGATGGTTAGGAGAGCAGCAGGTCCCAGGATTGGTTACAGGTGGTCACTCCTTACTTGGCCTCATGTTATATGACCACTTTCAAGTAAATGAGAAAACACTGCTGCAGTGTTCTAAGGATGATAATGGTCTATGGGAAAACATGAAATCACTGACAGGTATCATACTATACATGAAGGCAAACAACAATGAAGTTTTATATAAATACAAGGCAATGATATTACAGAACTCTATTGCATAGTTTTATAAATCATTTTTCCAGGAATCGAGGCTGAACAGCAACAAAGATATCTTACCTGAGCCAGTTTCTTCAACCTTCTAGAAGTTTTCACATTCCAACACTTCTGAACTTCTTAAGAACCAAATTAACATTTTAGGAATCCCACTCTGCCTCCTCCCTCTCCTTTCACTCCCCTCTTTGGTCTTGTCAGAATTAGAAGAGTTTACCATTTCTTCTAAATACCATCCAGAATGTGAGAATGAAACCCATACTGAGATCCTGGCTGGGCTTGAGCAGAATAAAAGCAGAAGCAACTGGGACATATCTCTAGGCAAGCTTTATTCTTTGACTCCTCTATCAGAGAAAGGGCATGCTAGTTGCATCTCACCTAAAAGGAATACAATGGGAATTAGAGGGCTGGTGGAACTGTTTGAAAGGAGTTGTCAACCTTAGCAAATGAATGTAGCTGTGTGTTGTCTCCATCATTCCTTGAGCACCTGGCCTTGCAGACTGGGGAATGGTCAGAACAGACTCATAGGAAGTCCCCAGAGCTTTACTATACCAAGGTTCAGGAGGAGGAGGCATCGACAACAAATGTTTTATATTTCTGTTCATTTTAGGAGCTGTAGATTGTTTTTTTTAAATTACCTAGAGAGCGTAAAGCTTATATTCATAGATGAGTTGTTGTTGAATGCCTACCCCAAATGGTTTCCTTAACTAGTTTTCACTTAACCCAGAATACTATAATACAAAGGTCAAAGCTCCAGAATTCAAAAAAGGAAAACCACCTTCCTGTTGCTCAAGCAAATACCAGTTTTAAAAAACAAAATTAAGCAAAAAAGACCTTTCCCCAAATAGGCTTGTTATCAACTAGCTTTGTACAACCCATTCCTAAAAAAGCCATATTCCATTTCAGAAAACATGACTGCTTAGGATAGAGCCCTTGCCTTTAGGTGCTTAGTTTCTGTAAAGTAACCTCCGAAATGCTTATTTGTGCTGCCTTCCTGAAAACTGTAACTTGTTTTTACAAAGGAGAAAGAAAATCGCAAAGAGGTGTCTAACTTGGCAGGTAGCATGACCAGCCACTAAATGTCTTCTTCACCCTTTCTTATTCAACAAGATGGGTTCTGTGGTGTCGCATGAGGTGTGAGTTCGAAATGAAAGCCGCACCGCACTTCTCACATTCGTAGGGCTTCTCCCCAGTGTGGGTTCTCTGATGCACAGTAAGGCTTGACCTCTGCCTGAAGGCCTTGCCACACTCGTTACATGTGTAAGGTTTTTCCCCATTATGTATTCTCTGATGAATAAGTAGATAGGAACTACACGTGAAGGCCTTCCCACACTCATTACACACATAAGGAAGATCTCCACTGTGAATTCTCTGGTGGACAATAAGGCAAGAGAGCTGACTGAAGGCTTTCCCACATTCACTGCAGTCATAAGGTTTCTCTGCAGTGTGAATTCTCTGGTGCACAATAAGGTGTGAAAAACAACTGAAGGCTTTCCCACACTCTTTACACTCATATGGCTTCTCACCAGTATGGCTTCGCTGATGGACGATAAGATTTGCACTCTGGGTGAAGGCTTTGCCACAGTCATTACAAGCAAAGGGCTTCTCCCCAGTGTGGATCCTCTGGTGGACAATGAGGTTTGAGCTCCGAGTAAATGTCTTTCCACATTCATTGCATTCATAGCACTTTTCCGTAATGTGGACTTTCTGGTGCCGGGCAAGCTGCGAGCTGTAACTGAAGGCTTTCTCACATTCACTGCACTTAAAGGTTTTTTCTAAAGAGTGAATTTTTTGGTGGACAGTCAGATTTGAACTCTGAGTGAAAGCTTTTCCACATTTTGCACAAACGTAAGGTTTCTGTCCAGTGTGGATTCTCTGATGTACAACAAGGTTTGCACTCTGGATGAAGGCCTTCCCACACTCATGGCACTCAAAGGGCTTCTCCCCAGTGTGGATTCGCTGATGCACGACAAGGTTTGCACTCTGACTAAAGCCTTTCCCACATACACTACATGTAAAAGGCTTCTGCCCGGGCTGGATTTTCTGATTTTTCATACAGCCAGAACTAAGGCTATATTTACCCCCAGATTTCTTACATTTTTGGTCTTTCTCTTCTTTGAAGTTTTTAGGTAAGTGACAATCCTCCACTGTCACTTGTCTGAAATCTTTCTTTTCCTTCTTTATTTTCTGCCTCTTTTCCATGTTTCCTGTTTCACATGATTCTCTGAATTCAGGTCCTTGAGTGTCAACTTTCTGGATTCTTCCTGACATTACAAGGGGTTTTTCAGTTTCATCACATATCTCAGATTTTGGAACAAATAACTGTAGATTCTTTGTTTCAGCATCTGAAATGAAAAAAGAAAAATACAAGTGTTAGCTTAGTCTGGCCTAGATAAAAAAATATCAAGTCAAGAAGGCCAGGAAGCATATGACTTCAGAACCTTTACAAATTTGCTTCATTAAAGGAAGGAATACCTTCATGTTACTCCTCCGCTGTAGATTCTTCTGCAGGGACCATGTTCTGCCCCATACCTGGCACTGAATGTGCTCACTCATGCTCTTTTTGGCTTTTCCACTTACCTCCATGAGATATTAACCCACTGCCTCATAACAGAGAAGCCCATGCACTTCAGACCCCTTTATACACCGGCATGAAGGTAATTTTGTATGGATCTCACACTAAGACTAGTTATGAAGGACACCAGCCTCTCCCTAAGCTTGCCTTTTACCTGAGCTACTGGTGTGGATTTGCTCCCAATTCACCATTTGATTAGATACAATCTCCCCCTGTGAACAAAAAAACTACCAAGTTGAGCCTTACCGTGTGAAGATGGTGAATATCATAGACAGAGTAAACATGGACAGAAAGGTCATGCTGGATGTCAAGAAGTCCAAAGAAGTCAATAGCATCTGAAACATTAAGAGGCTGTATAGCTCAGAGGTTAAAAACATGGACTCTGGAGCCAGACCGCCTAGTTTCAAATCCCTACTCTACTATTAACTAGCTACGACTTTGGGCTAGTTAACTTCTTTGTTCCTCAGTGTCCTAATATCTAAAACAGGGATAATAATACTATCTACCTCAAAAGGCTATGATTGGATTAATGCAATTACTCTGTCAACTGCTCAGAACAGTACATGGGACACATCAAGTATTCTGATGTCTGCAGTGACTTTCAGTCTGATGGATGGTGCTGATAGGGGCCAGGAGGAAAGATGAACCCTTAAGGGATGGGAGCTGCTATGATGACAATCAGCTACAGTAGGAGGGATTAAAGAAGAAATTGAACATAGTAAACCTTTACTATGTTCCTTGTATCAAGGAACAGCTTAGTATTTCATCAAGGAAAGCTGACATTCAGGTGGAGTTAACTGTTTAGAAAAATATAATCTATAAAACTTGAAGCTTAACTGAACATGAATTAAGGAAAAAGTATAAGTGTTCTCACTTTTATAAAAGTACTTTAAAATGTGCAGATGAAAGTACAGTAAGTTATGTTTAAAGGTGTAAAAAATGGTTTTTAAGGGAATAAACTTTAATTCAACATTAATTAAAACTGAGACATTTAAAACCCAGTGATCACTTCCAAAATATTTTCATGTATATCATAGGTTGAACATTCCTTATCCAAAATGCTTATGACCCAAAGTGATTTGGTTTTTCAGATGTTAGATTATTTAGAGACATGCACGTGTGTACACACACACACACACACACACACAAAACGAGATATCTTAGATGGGACCAACATATAAACTTGGAATTCACTTATGGCTCATATACACCTTATACACATGGTATGAAGGTAATTTTGTACATTTTTAACCATACCTGTGTTTTGACTAGAACCAGTCATAGGAGGAAAGTGTAAATTTTCCGTTTGCCATGCTAGTACTCAAAAAGTTTTGGATTTTGGAGCATTTTGGAATTTTGGATTAGGGAAGCTCAGCTTTATCATTGAGATGCAAATGGTCTTTTTCAATCGTGTGGGAACTAAAAAGGGATAAGACTGCGTCTTATTTAATTCTGTTTCCCCAGCCCTTATTTTACTGCCCATCACCCAGGAAGTAGGCCTTTAACAAACCCTGTACCTTATTCAATCAATGTACCCTAGTTTGTAGAATAGGAAACAAAGGTCCCAAGGGGACTTAATCAAGATCAGAATTACTAGAGGCAGGGCAACAACTACATTCAGGTCTCTCTAACAATTCCTAGAGCTTGGTGTTCCTGCTATTACCTGCAGCTCTGGAAATGGTCTGTAGCACAAAATGGTAAGTCTTGGGTGGGAATAGTCTTGGGGTAAAGAGGCAGAGAAGGAAAACTGGCTGTTCCTGATGAATGAATGCAGCTCTTGGAGCCCACTATGAACAGATAATAAAGCAAGACAGAAGAGACATATGGGGAATACACCAGAAAGAATGGAACAGAAAGCAGGAAGTATGGATAATGCTGAGAGTGTAGGGAATAATTGAAGACAAGAAAAAGAAAGGTGGAGATTTGAACTGTTTCCACAGCCTTGGTTTAAGAAAACAACTTGGTCTGCAAATGCCTGAGGAATTGTCTAGGGAGGAGAATGGGTTTGAAATGTTCAGATATTGGTCTCTATCAGACAGACACATAAAACATGAGCATCTAGGGACCTGAAAGCCATCCAGGTGATTGCTTATGCAACTCTGGGTCAAAACTGTGGTAGCCATGAGCCCTTAGTTACACATCACTCCTCCACAGGCTAGCTTCTGTCACAATCATGACATTTATTTGATAAATGAAGGCAATGTCTCATTGTTTTAATTAGTCTTTTCTTTTTACAATCAGCAAAGTTAAATGTTTTCATCTACTTCTTAAATATTTTTGTTATTTTGGAAGAATAATATCCATATGCATTATAACTATTTTTAATTAATTATTTTTCCTTTTGGGGAGGACAGGGGTACTGGTACTGAACCCAGAGGCACTTTACCACTGACCTACATCCTCAGGCCTTTTTCAATTTTTATTTTGAGATCGGTTTGCACTAAATTACCCAGAATGGCCTCAAACTTGCCATCTTCCTGAATCAGCTTCCCAAATTGCTGGGATTAGAAGCATGTGCCACTGTGCCCAGCACAGCTATTTTTAAATAGGGCAGTTTTTTTCACTCTTTTTGGGGGACGGAAAAAAGAATGAAAAAAACTTAATCACTGAGCCACATCTACAGCCCTATTTTGTATTTTATTTAGAGACAGGGTCTCACTGAGTTGCTTAGTGCCTTGCTTTTGCTGAGAGTGGCTTTGAATTCGCAATACTCCTGCTTCAGCCTCCCTAGATGCTGGGATTACAGACGTGTACCACTGTGCCCAGCAGTTTTATTTATTTATTTTTCATACTAATGGTTTATAATAGCTCTTCATATGTTAAAGGTTATGTTTTTAGCGAGCACGCACACACACACATACACACACAACACACAAAGACATTTAGAAAATACTACCCTTTGCTGAGTCCAGCTTGGAGAGAACCAGGTGATAAGCCATCAGTATCCTCCACAAAGACCTAGTTTTGACCATAATTATGGCTGACACAGCTGTTCAAAATCCTCCAGAATTTGCACAAAGATCTATGAAAACAGAACATCTCCAGGACATTTTTTCAAAATCAGCACAAAAGTTGACCTTTTCTACCTTTGCTAGCTTCTTCTGCAGGCTCACCAACCTATAATAACCATAAAAATATGAAGAAAACACGTGTCTATGCATATGCATAGATATGAAACTCACTGAGCAATAAATATAATTAAAAGGAGAATTCAGAATTTATGTCTGTCTGGTATCTTCAGATTGTGTGCAAATAAGACATTTCCTAAGATAACTGCACAGGCATCTCTCAGCTATCCTCTCCAGCTCTCCTTAGCACTTTCAACACCTCAATACTCTTGTTGCTCACACAGAGAAACCAGATACCCACCCACACTCTTGAAAAGATTCTAAACCCCAATGGTCAGAATCTGAATAAGGGAGTTTAAACCTTACCCAGAGAGTTCATGTTCTCATGAGTCTCCAGTATCTCCCTCTTGGCCAGAGTCCTTGGTAATGAGTAACTGCCAAGTGGTGCAGCAGCAGGGGCCTCTTGTGTTGCTTTTAGGACTACTGCCATGTCCCAGAACATATTCGGATCCTATAGACAAGCAGGCATTTATGAAGGGATTGATGGTAGGAATACTGTGATTGTAGCTTCGAGGATGCATACACAATCATTTATTTCTGGAGGTCAAAAAACACTTTAAAAAAAAAAAAAAAACGGAAAAGGAAGCCAGAATCTTCCTCTTCCCCAAAGTGAGAGACAAAGAAACAAATCTGCTACTTTGATTTCATCCCATCACTCACTCCAGCAGCCAAACCTAACTTACCAATGAGTATGTGACAAGAGAGCACATGAGGGTGTTTTTTCTGGGTCCTAAAGATCAAAGAAGCAAGGTTCTAATCATAATTTTGTTTTTCTTTTCTTTTTTTTTTACAGTACTGGGGGTGGAATCCAGGGCCTCATACATGCTAGGAAAGTGCTCCATCACTGAGCTATTTCCTCAGCCGGCCCCCCCTTTTTTTTTTGAAACAAGGTCTCACTGACCTACTCTAACTGGCCTCAAACTTGCAATCCTACTGCATTGAGAAATGCAGAAACCAGAATTACAGGTGTACACCACTGTGTCCAGCCTGTTTGTGTTCTCATACAACTTTTCTGGGACCAGCCCTGCCCTGCTTTGCCTAGTGCTGGTAACGGGTGTATTTAAAAACATTAAGAACACAGTGTCATTTATAGCCTCATTACTGAAAACGAGGTCTATAGGGGCTTGTGAGAAATACAGAATCTCAGATCATACCCCAGGCCTCCTGAATCAGGATTAGCATTTTAGTAAGACCCCAAGTGATTCCTATGCATACTAAAGTTTGAGAAGCACTGAGAGCTTTCAAAATACAACTGGAATTACCTGAGGAGTGTTCTTAAATACACAGAAACCCAGAACTTATCCCCAGATTCTGATTTCCTTAGAATAGTCTACAACATGGCCAGAAAGATTTTATAAAAGTTCCCCATGTTCTTTATAGGAAAGTTTGAGAACTACATGGTAATAAAAAATACTGAATAATGCATCAATCAGAAGGGAACATCTCAATTATGTTCCAAAGGACTTACGGTCAGAGACCTAGCTAGGAAATAAGATGCTAGGAAATAAGAAGCAGAGAAGCAGTTTTCCTGGAACTACTTGAGGTTTTCAGGTCTCTCCTTCTTTCCTCCCAGGTCATCATTTACCTTTTCCTCCTCTTCGGATATATCAAGGCCTGTCTGAGGCCCCTCATGTGGGGCCCAGACTTTGAAGTTCTCAGAATGTGCTTGTTGGCTGGATTCCTGATTTAGGAAATTGTCCTCCTCTTCCTCCTCCTTTTTCACCTTCACTGGGCCCCAAGGGTCTGGAATCATGGCCTCTCTCAGTTCCGTAGTCATCTTCTCTGCACAGCAAAACAACTCCTATTAACTAGGGTTGCCCAATAGAGGTCAAGCCCCATCTAATCTCTTAAGTTTCAAAAGCTTCTTCTTGATTTTATTCTCAGGGCCAAGATGAGTACTGTCAACTGAGAAATGAAAAACATTGTTAGCAATGAGGACAGATTTGTCAGGATGCCACTCAGTCTCCAAGCCAATTTCACCAATGACTGGCCAGTGATCACTATAGTGCAAAGAATATTCTACTTCTATAGATGGAAAGAGTTAAAATATAAATATGTTGGGGCTCGGGATGTGGCTCAAGTGGTGGCGCACTGGCCTGGCATGCATGAGACACTGCGTTCGATCCTCAGCACCACATAAAAATAAAATAAAGATATTGTGTCCACCTAAAACTAAAAAATAAACATTTAAAAAAATATATATATATGTGTAAATGCAAATTGCTGAATACATCAATCATTGATTTTTTTTTAACTAAAGGTTAACTTTTTAATTATAAAAACTTTTAAACTATAGAATGATTAGGAAAACTCACTCGACTACCTCCAAAGGAATAATCACCATGTGTTGTAAACTGAAAATTTTTTTAAGGGAAAATCTTCAAACATACTAACAATAATTATGACTTTATAAACATTTTGACAGGTATGTTCACAATTATTATCAGTGGTCTTAAAAATAGGAATATTACAACACAAATGTTTCTATATTGTCAAGGATGAAAAATTAGCATGAGAAAGAAGTGCCAAGCAAAAGACTGGAAGTATATAGACATGATATCATGTTAGGAATAAGTGGGTGGATAGCTCCAGGTGGTGGAATTACAAATTGTTTCAAGGTTCTTTTTGTTTTTTTTACATTTTCCAAATGTCAGTAAGATCAAGTATTAGTCTTAAGATTTAAAAAAAGAAATCATTTTCCATTGTCATTGTTCATGCTTATTTTGATTTGCTACACAATATCCTACAGTATTGAGATTGGGGACTTAGTTCAGTGGCCAGAGCACTTGCCTAGCACACACAGGGGTGGGGTTGAATCCCCTGCACTGCAGGACAAAAAGCGAGCAACAACTGCCTCTCCCCCCCCAAAAAAAAAAGACAAGGCAAAAATAATCTATGGTATTGACAAATTTTCACTCTCATTGAAAAGGACCTATTCACAAACATAAAACATTAAATGTATTTCTTTTTTTTTATACTGGGGATTAAACCCACAGGGGCTTAATCACTGAACTCCCTATCCTCCAGCCCTTTTTTATATTTTATTTAGAGACAGGGTCTCCCTGAGTTCTTAGGGCCTCCATCTTTTTAAAATTCTTTTAGTTGTAGATAGACACAATATCTTTATTTATTTTTCTGTGGTGCTAAGGATCAAATCCAGTACCTCACCCATATGACGTAAGTGCTCCACCACTGAGCCACAACCCCAGCCCTAAATATATTCCTTATACATACGTACACACAGAAACTAGTCATTAGTTGAATGGACATCCTAGTCCTTTTTCTGTTATTTACATTCATATGTGCATTCACTGCTTATTTTTCTAAATCATACTTTAAAACTCACTATACACTGTTCAGCAAGTTGCACTATTTGTCTTTTGAACTAATCTCCTTATTTCATAAGTATTGGTGATCCTTCAATACACAGTACACACATGCCTCATTCTGGCAGAATATTCTGAATCAGTGCTATACTATAATTTACCCCATTAATGAACCATTCCTTTAGTAAAAGGAGTCTTAACTGTTTTCAGTGTATTCTCTTACAAAAACGTTTGAAATGTTTACGGCAAAGTTTTTTCTTCTGCTCCATTATTTCTTTAGAATAAAGAGAGGGATCACTATCTTGAGGACTGTGTAGTTGGAACATTTTTTCAATGTTTTCCAGAAGCACCACATCAACTCAAGTCATACCGAGACTAATTAGCAGGACCCCTTGACCACAGATGAGCCAGCAGGGTTTTTGTTTCTGCGAGTCAAATAAGGAACTATTTTAGATAAATATGAGAATGATATTTTTCTATTTCTCTTTGGAAGTTTTACTAAAAAAAAAAAAAAAAAAAGATTTGCTGAATTTTACTAAATCCCCTTTTGCAGCTGAAATGATCACATTCGTTTTTCTGTTAATTACTGGCAATTTTTTGCACAATTGAATTCCTAGAGTAATGAAATATACTTACATTCCTACGAAAATTCTTAACTGTGAAGCTTAAGGTATCCATGACTAGTAGATTTGGAGGTTTTCATGACTAGCTTAATTCTACCTCATAATTTTCCCCAAAACATTCAACGACGGCTTTGAAGACCGTTCCATCTTTTGTAGACAGAATTGTCTACTTCGCTTACTGTCATCAGACTTCTGGTAAGATTCAAATGGATCCCCCAACCCCAGGCGACAGAGAGCCCTCTATCAAAGGCTTCCTTTTTAATGTCCTTTTTCCAATTCCGAACGTGGCAATCTGTTCCCTCCACCTGTATGCCCTGGCTCCGGGTCTCCGGGATCCTCCTGGCCCCTGGGCGGTGCGCCTCGGTCCTCTGCCTGCCCAGGCGCCCGTCAGATGGCCACCCGGACGGCGAAGCGAAGGGGCGCGGAGCCGCTCTGGGACTGCCGGGGCTAAGTCCCGAGGCAAAGACTCCTGGGCCGCTTCGGGACCGCCGTTCCGGGCACCGCCCTGCTCCCCGTGGTCCCTGGCCACCCCGTAAATCCGCTCACCGTACGCAGTGAAGAGGCCTGGCCCGGGGCACCGACTCAGAGTAAGAAGCTGGCGCTGCAGGACCCCTGCCCTTCCAGGCGCCAGAACAATGACCGGACAGGAAGTGCCTCGGGATGGGCTTCCGGCTCCCAGATCACCAGGCCGGCCTCTCTAGGAATCTCGGAGGAGCCTTCTTCTCGATGGGCGTCCAACTCAGTCCTGGACCAGGGAAAGGGCGCTCTAAAGCCCTTTGTTTTGGGACGAAACGATGGGACCTTCCCAGGATGGGCAAGTGGCTCGTGCAAGGATGGCACCCGGGAGTCTGATGCTTAAAGATTAATCTAGAAATACCGGATCATTTTCCCCAAAACATTTTATTTTGAAAATATCAAACGGTACAGAAAAGTTGAGAATGATATAAAGAATACCCGTATCCTCCATCTGAGCTCAACAATTAACATTATGCTATGTTTGCCTTATCTCTATTTAAGGTTATCTTTTCAGAAAGCTGTAAATATCAAAGCGCTTCATTCCAAATAGCATGCATCCCTTAAGAATATTCTCCAAACTAACACCACCATCATCACACGTAAGAAAACAGTAATATTCTAAAACCACTTAATATACAGTCAGTATTCAAATTTCTCCTAAGGTACTGAAACACATTTCAAAGGTTTTTTTTTTTTTTTTCCAATTCAGTTTCACAACACTGTATTTTAGTTATGGCTCTTTTGTGTATTCCTATTTTATGTTAAAATGACAATTCCACAGGAAGTTGCAAAGATTTTCCCACCAATGGTTACATCTTATGTAATTAGAATGACAAAATCGGCAAGTATATATTGGTACAGTGCGTGCCTATGCGTTTGTCATTGTATTGCATGAGATTTGTGTAATTGCCACTATTACACAACTATTCCATCACCAACCTCCCTGGTGCTACCCTTTTTATAGTTACATCCCAATCCTCTCCCTCGCACCATCCCTAATATATGGGATTCCCTAGAAATCCATTCTAGTTGTGACAAGCTGTAGGTCATCTGTCTTATTGCCAAGTACTAAGTACTCCATGGTATAGACATACCATAGTTTATTTTAACCACCTGATACCTAAAGGTTTTGAATATTAATATAGATTGTATGAACATTATGTACAAGTCTTTGTGAACATAAGCTTTCATTTCCTGGGACAAATGCTAGGGAATGGAATTACTGAGGCATATAGTTAAGTGCATGTTTGGTTTTATAAGAAACTGCCAAACTGTTTTCCAAAGTGATTGTGCCATTTTGCATTTCCAAAAATGTATGAAATCCAGTTTCTCGGCATCCTTGTCAGAACTGGTGTAATCACTTTATTTTAAAAAGTTAGCTAATTCTGATAGGTGCACAGAAGTATCTCAAGATTTTAATTTACATTTCCCTAATGGATAATGTCGAATATCTTTTCATTTGCTTATCTGTCAACTACAGTGAAATGTCTGTTGGTATCTTGTGCATTTCTAATTTTTTTTTATCAATAAGTTTTCAGAGTTCTTTATGTAGTCTAGATACAAATCCTTTGATGGATATGTGATTTGCAAATGGTTCTCTCCCAGTCTGTAGTGTCTTTTCATCCCCTTAAAAGTATCTTTGTAGAGAAAAGTTATCTTAATTTTGATGAGGTCCGGTTGATCATTTTCCCCTTTTACAAAACATGCTTTTGATGACATCTGCAAGTTCTTTCCTTAATCCTACTTCTCAAAGTTGTGAGGGGTTTTCCCCTTATGGATAGCTTCATTAATGATCACTCTTCTTTCCTTTATATCATGACTTTTTGAAGAATCCAGGGCAATTTTCTAATATCCCATGTTCTAAAATTTTCTGTTTCTTATGGCATCTTTTATATTATCCCTATGCTTTCTGTATTTCCTACAAACTGCCAATTAGGTTTAAGAAACTTGATTAAAATCAGGCTAAAGATCTTTTGGCTTATTACACTACAAGAGGAGGCACATCATATGGGCTCAGTTAGCTATATTGTATTTTTACTTGGTTACAAGGTAAATGCTAGCTCTCTCCTTTGTTAAAATATGTCCTTTTGCAATTATTATATAACCTATGGTGATTCTTGTATAGCATTAATAGGAAGAATTTTCATACTCATTACCTCATAACAACTTTGGGAGGTAGATATTTTTCCTCCTGTTTGACAGATGTGGAAATCATGTCTCCAAGAAGTGAAGAGATTTGTCCAAGGCAAGTGGCAGAACCTGACTCATCCAGATCTTAAAGAGTTCAAACTATGGGTCCCTTCCAGTTTTCGGTATACATTTCAGTATAATGAGGAACCAGCCCTCAAAGGAGCTTTGGGGTTGAATTAATAACATGTCATAATCAGCATACCACTTTGATATTGCTTGTATTAGAAAACACCATCCTGATATACATTTACATTCTACCTGCAAAACTGGAATTTGGAGAATTAGAAGATAAAATATAGGAATACAGAATGAATTAACCCAAATAAATGTACAATAGGGCACGAGCTGAATGAACAACTGGTTCACAGGGAGTAAAGCACAGTGGCTGCCTAGAAGTGGATTCTGCATTGGCTTAATCAGAACTTGAAGGCTTGGCTGTGTAAAAATTTAGATAGTAAATTAAGTGCTGGGACAGAAAGTCTTTTTGTAAGTGACAATCTATCACATGACAGCAACAATTAAATGTTGACTACAATGGAAAATGGCTGTGGCAAGGATCATCAGTTCAGCTAATGGGGTTATGTATTTCTCCCAATAAAAAGAAAAAGCAACATAGGACTGACCTTCAATTTTGATGTTCTATTAAGTTCCATATTCAAAGATCAAAAAACAAATAGCTTTCCTTGGTATCACTGTTAATGGCTGGCCATAATATATTTTCCATAAAAACAAAGTAGACATTTTATACATTAACTCCCTTAGACATTTTAAAATTATATTTTTCAAAAGTCTTTAGAGTACTAAATCCCAAAGTTAGCTATCCATCATACTTCACCTCATAAAAATGACTATCTTTGAGGTTCATGGAATCCTCTTCATTCTAATATTGATTTAATGAACAAACTTAGATTATACCATGTCCTAGACTCTGGCCATACCTCTCTCTCTCATCTAACTTTATTGTAAAATGGTTTCACAAACATCCTTTCATTACTCCTCACAACAACCCTGTGAGGTAGGCATTCTGAGGCTTAGAGGTGGGCTTAACATTAACATAGTAAGGGAAACAGAATCCAAACCTAGCTCTTCTAATTTTACATCTAGTCTTAAGGATGAGCCAGGTAATCTCTTGCCCACTGAATTCCACATCTCAGTGTCTGGATTTTACTGTCTATACAGACATTCTGCACAGAGATGCTATCTTTAAACTGTATAATATACATATTTTCAGAAACAATGTCCACTTTAATAAAGACATTTTTGCTATCACTTACAACTGCACCATTATCTCTTATAAGACCCAAATCCAGTTTCTTCTGTCTTCAATTGCTCCAAGGTCTGTTTCCAAGGTCATAATAAATGATCTGGAATACAGTATCCTTGAACTAGAATTTGGATTATGTTTTTCTACACTTGAAGGTCTAGATTAACTTTCTTTCACTTGTCCATAAGAAATGGTCATGATTTTTTTCTTATAGAAACTATATGTCATTCATCTAACGCTTAAATAGGATTCTATTCCATTTTACAAATGACACTATTTTTTTCTTTTTTGCAGTGCTGGGGGTTGTACATGCAAGACAGTACTCTACCACTTGGCCACAATGCCAGATCTCCACTAGATTTTTTGAATCTCTATCTTAGACTCACTGGCATTTTTTAGCCAAGAGAATTCCTCCACAGTATGGACTTTTTGTTGAAAATGAAGTTTTGAAGTCTGAGAAAATTCCTTTTCAGCCTCACCACATTCACAGGGTTTTTCTTCTGTATGAACTTTCTGATGTACAGTGAGGTTTTTTCTTTGTCTAAAAACTTTGCTACAATCATTACACCCATAGGGTTTCTCCCCTGTGTGGATTCTCTGGTGACCAACTAAATTCCTCTTGGAGGTAAAAGATTTCCTACATTTCTCACACTCATAAGGCTTCTCTCCAGTATGCATTCTCTGATGTACAACAAGGTTTTTATTCTGACTAAAGTCTTTTCCACACTCATTACATTTATAAGGTTTCTCTCCAGTGTGTATTCTTTGATGTACCATAAGATTTCTACTAGAGGTAAGAACTTTTCTACAGATATGACATTCATATGTTTTTTCCCCACTGTGAATTCTTTGATGTTCAATAAGATTTCTGTTGTAGGTGAAGCCTTTCCCACACTCATTACATGCATAGGGCTTCTCACCAGTGTGGATTCTCTGATGAGCTATCAGGTTTGAGCGGTAACTAAAGACTTTCCCACAGTCATTGCATTTATAAGACTTTTCCCTTGTGTGAATCCTCTGATGTCCAATGAGGCTTTTTTTCAAGATGAAGCACTTGCCACACTCATTACACTCATAGGGTTTTTCACCACTGTGGATTCTCTTATGTTCAATGAGGTTTCTGTTGGAACTGAAAGCTCTTCCACACTCACTACATTCAAAAGGCTTTTCTCCAGTGTGGATTCTTCGATGTACGAGCAGGCTTGAATTGTAACTGAAAGCCTTACCACAATCCTCACATTTGTAGGCTTTCTCCTGTGTATGAAGTTTCTGGTGGACCATGAAACTCTTGCTCATAATAAAGGTTTTCCCACATTCTCGACATTCATATGGCTTCTCCCCATTGTGGAGTCTCTCATGGTCAATGAGATTCCTGTTAGAACCAAAGACCTTACCACAGTCTTTACATTCATAGAGATTCTCTCCAGTGTGGAACCTTTGATGTAATATGAGGCTCTTCTTCAGAATAAAAACTTTTCCACATTCATTACATTCATAGGGCTTCTCTCCGTTGTGGAGTCTCTGATGATCAAAAAGGTAAGCACTCTGAGTGAAGGCTTTCCCACATTCAGTGCATTTGTAAGGTTTCTCTCTGCTGTGCATCCGCTTGTGGTCGATGAGGTTTGACTTAGAACTAAAAATTTTCCCACATTTTTTACAACCAAAGGTTTTCTTTTCTGTGTGGACTCGCTGATGTAAAAGGAGGCTTTTACTTCGAATGAAAACTTTCCCACATTCTTTACACTTGTAAGGGTTCTCTGCACTGTGGAGTCGCTGATGGTCGACAAGGTAGGTGGTCTGAGCAAAGGTTTTTCCACATTCATCACATTTATAGGGTTTTTCCCCAGAGTGAATTCTCTGGTGCAGAATGAGGCTCTTCTTCAGAATGAAAGCTTTCTGGCATTTATTACATTTATAAGGTTCTTCTCCTTTATGGAGCCTCTGGTGGTCAATGAGGTAAGCGTTTTGAGAGAAAACTTTCCCACACTCATTACATTTGTAAGGTCTCTCCCCTGAATGGCGTCTTAGATGTATAATGAGGCCTGAATGCCTATAGAAGCCCTTTCCACATTCCTTACATTTATAAGGTTTCTCCCCAGTGTGAATCCTCTGATGGTTTAAAAGGTAAGCACTTTGAGAGAATGCTTTCCCACATTCATTACATTTATATGGTTTCTCCCCAGAATGGTTTCGAAGGTGCATTAGAAGGCTTGAGCGCTGAATAAAGCCCTTTCCACACTCCTTACATTTATGAGGTTTCTCACCAGTATGGATTCTCCGATGGTTTATGAGATGTGAAATTTTATTTAAATGTTTACAACATATGTCACACTTATAGTACTTCTTTCCCTCAGTACCTATTAAACTTTCAGAAACAGCTGAACCTAAAGTCAAGCTTTCTCCAAATTCCTTCCACTTCTGGCCCCGTTTTTCTGGTAAAGTCCTTTTCTTCTTGTCTTGTTCACACAGGGAACCTTTTTTCATTGCATCTACCCTTTCTCCTGTTTCATTTCCCCACTGACTTTCCAAAACTTGCCATTCACATTCTTCCTCAAAACCAGGGACCTGGGAAACACTGCCTTGAAGTCTTTTTGATATTCCTTTCTGAGCATCTGCTCTTTGAGAAATACTTGGCTTTGATGTCACCTCCTCATTTTCAGTCATGGTCTCCCATTCTGGTAAAAGAAATTCAAACATAAATGTTATCAGGTTCCTAAATTTGTGAGAATAGGATCTTCAAGTTTCTTAAAACCATGTTTCTAGTGATAGAGTGAGTGTCTAGAAAGTGTGAAACCCTGGCCTTGATTCCCAATACTGGGGCAAAGAAAGTATCCATCTAGGGGTTAGGGGTGTAGCTCTGTGGTAGGCATGTCACCCATGGGGTTGAGCTACACTCACCTATTCTTTTGTAATACTACCCCTTTGCCCTGTTTAGGATAGAATGTTCCATGGAAGCTCCCTTTGTGTGTCCCCTTCTCTTGCTCTGCCTTTGGGGATGGCCTTTCTAGATGTTCAGTCAGCCTGCTGACAGCAGACATCAAGAAGCTAGACTCAACCCCTGAAACCTGACCCATTGCCTCATTTGAATGGCTTCTCCCCTTGGAGCCATTAGGACCCAAAGAAAAAGGTATTTCTGTCTCTTGTATGATTATTTCATGCATCATAGTTCACTTGGAGTGACCTTGAGTGTTTTAGTTGTTAGAAATGCAACACCCCTGAGTTCAATCTCTGGTACCACCACCCAAAAAAGAATGTTTTCAGGGCTGGAGTTGTAGCTCAGCGGTAGTGCACTTGCCTAGCCTATGTGAGGTACTGGGTTTGATCCTCAGCACCACATAAAGATAAATAAATAAAGATATTGTGCCCATCTAAAACTCAAAAATATTTTTTTAAAAAGAATATGGGAGAAAGGATAGCATCTTCAACAAATGGTGCTGGGAGAACTGGAAATCCATATGCAACAAAATGAGATTGAATCCCTTTCTCTCACCATGAACAAAAGTCAACTCAAAATGGATCAAGGAGCTAGGAATCAGACCAGAGACTCTGCGTCTAATAGAATATAAAGTTGGTCCTAATCTTCATCACGTGGGGGCAGGCCCCAAATTTCTCAATAAGACACCTATAGCACAAGAGTTAAAACCAAGCATCAACAAATGGGATGAATTCAAACTAAAAAGTTTTTTCTCAGAAAGAGAAATAATATGCAAGGTGAATAGGGAGTCTACATCCTGGGAACAAATTTTTACCCCTCAAACATCAGATAGAACTCTAATCTCTAGAATATACAAAGAACTCAAAAAGTTAAACAATAAAAAAGCAAATAACCCAATCAACAAATGGGCCAAGGACTTGAACAGAAACTTCTCTGAAGAGGATATACAGTCAATTAACAAATACATGAAAAAAAATGCTCACCATCTCTAGCAATCAGAGAAATGCAAATTAAAACTACTCTAAGATACCATCTCACTCCAATAAAAATGGCAGCCATTATGAAGTCAAACAACAATAAGTGCTGGCAAGGATGCGGGGGGGGAAGGTACACTCATACATTGCTGGTAGGACTGCAAATTGGTGCAGCCAATTTGGAGAGTAGTATGGAGATTCCTTGGAAAGCTGGGAATGGAACCACCATTTGACCCAGCTATTCCCCTTCTCGGACTATACCCAAAAGACCTAAGAAGAGCATACTACAGGGACACAGCCACATCAATGTTTATAGCAGCACAATTCACAATAGCTAGAATGGAACCAACCTAGATGCCCTTCAATAGATGAATGGATTAAAAATGTGGCATTTATACACAATGGAATATTACTCAGCACTAAAAAATAATAAAATCATGGCATTTGCAGGCAAATGGATGGCATTAGAGCAGATTATGCTAACTGAAGTTTGCCAATCCCTAAAAAACAAATGCCGAATGTCTTCTCTGATATAAAGGGGTTGACTCAAAATGGGATAGGGAGGAAGAGCATGAGAAGAAAACTACCACTAAATAGGGAAGAGAGGTAGGAGGGGAAAAGAGGGAGAAAGGGAGTTACACAGAAGATGGAAGGAGAACCTCATTGTTATACAGAATACATATATGATGTTGTAATGGGAAAAAGAAAAAAAAAAGTGTGTCACATTAGATTGGATAGAGAAAGGATGGGAGAGGAGGGGAGGAGTAGGGAGGATAGGAAGGGCAGCAGAATAGAATAGACAATATGACTGATGTATGTACATTCCATGTATGTATTATATATCAAAATGCATTCTACTGTCATGTATGACTAAAAAAATAAATAAATAAAAAATAAAAAAAAATAAAAAAGAATATGTTTTCATAAGTGTAAAAGTACACAGTATAAGTTACTATGGACAATAAAATAATAAGGCTGCTAGATACAAAATTAATATACAAAAACATCAGCACTTTCTATATGTAAATGAAGTCAATTATAAAATATTAAAGACTAACTCTAAAGAATAAATATCACTAGAAGTATATAAGATCTAGACAAATGTGATTTTAAAATATGCCTGAAACAGAGAGAAAAATGCAGTACAGAAAAAACGAAAGAGTATGTAAGGTTCCTGAATGGAAACACTCAGAATAAAACTGTCAATGTAAAGCATGATCACACATAATGAAATATTATGCAGCCATTTAAACTAGTACTACAGATAATGTATATTCCAGTCAAAATTCAATTGTGTGGCTGATTCTCAGTTCTCAATGTCTACTTCTCTGTACAATCCTACTTTTCCAGTAACACCTCACATGCTACCTCCTTTATGGCCTTTCCTGATCTCCAGGAATGAGTTTGGTTGCTCTATCTTCTGTATTTCCACATATCAGATTTATGTCACTATTGCATCAATTATTTTATTCTGCCTTGTATTTGTTTATTCTTTCTATAATCATCTCCCAAACCATGATAAATTATTTGTGGGCAGAATCATATCATTTTCACAGGAACACCACAAGATACATGTTTTTAAAGTTTGTTGGAAGCACAAATGGCTGAATTTTTTTTCTTTCAAGTCAGGATTTCTTTGTTACCTAGGCTGATCTCAAACAATCCTCTTGGCTCTGTCTCCCAAGTAGTTAGCACTATAGATATGTATCACCGCACCCAGCAAAAAAGTTTTTAAATATTTTTATTTTATTACTACTTAAAGAAATCTACTTTATATTTTTTAACCTTAAAAAATTAGCAATAGTTTAAAACAATGGGATTACTAAGTACAAACGAGAGCAGAATAAAAGGAGTATTTGTAAGAACTGCTGAGAAGAGTAGAGAGGGTATGGGTCACTATGGAAAGCAATTTGGTAGTATGAAGCAAAAGCCTTAAAGCAAATCAATCACATAGGCCCAGTTGTACTTCTAAAAAATAAGGAGGAATAAAGAAAGGTTTTAGCCACAGAGATGAGGATTATGACAGCAATTATCCAAAATTTGAAAAAAATAAGAAAATGGCTAACTAAATTTAAATTATGGTACAAATTATGTAGCCAATATAGTGACTGCAAAGAAAGAAAGCTATAAATATATACACATGTATGTGTGTGTGTATTTTTTTTTCAATATATACTGAACAACATATTTAAAAACCCTCTAAACACATAGGAAAAAACACATGGGATATATCAAAATGTTGACAGCAGTTGTCTGCAAATAATGAGGTTGAAGTGAATATTCTTTCTAATAGTCTGTTTTCTTTTTGTTTTTTTTTTGAAGGGGTACTAGAGATTGAACTTAGGGCACTTGGCCACTGAGTCACATCCCCAGCCCTATTTTATATTTTATTGAGAGACAAGGTCTCACTGAGTTGCTTAGTGTCTCGCTTTTGCTGAGGTTGGCTTTGAACTTTCGATCCTGCTGACTCAGCTTCCCCAGCTGCTGGACTAATAGTTTGTTTTCTTAAATAAGCATAAACTACTTTTATAATCAAAACAGATAAGATAAAGGTAAGATTTATGGGAAGACGTCCTTACCTAGAGAGGTCACATTTCCATAATTCTCCAGCATAACATCCCAGTACAAGGCTCTCTGAATTGGGCCCAGACATGCCCATTCCTCTGAAGTGAAGCATACAGACACCTCCTCAAACATTACCAACTCCTGAAATAACAGGTTTGTGTTATGGGTATGAGTAGATTCCAATGTTTAGGAGCTCCCCTATCAAAAGGTTCCTTTCACTTCTGGGGAAGAAATACATTGTCAGGTCACGAGGAGAGCTGTGGATATCAGGGAGACATAAAGCAACCCCACAAGGTCGGTTTTCCAAAAGCATGGACCTTGATTTGGATATGGGACACTCCAGCACCAGGATGAGAGAGGACCCTTCAGCAACAATTAACGCAGTTCAGACAAGAAGGAAAGAGGATGCAAACCTTACCTGGGGCTGGGCAGTTAGGAGCATAAGTGCCATTAACTGATTTCTTGGGTTCTCTTCCTGGGATAGGACAGAAGCCTCAGGGGCAGGAGAATCTGAGAAAGAACAAATTGCATGTGAGAATATTGCTGTTGTGGCTTACTACCCCAGTCTAATATCTTCTACAAATTAGGAATTCAGAATGATCCAGAGGGGTGGGGATACAGCTCAGTGGTAAAGTGCTTGCCTGGCATGCATGAGGCCCTTGGTTCAATCCCCAGCACCACAAAAGAAACAAACAAACAGAAACAAACAAACAAACAAAAAAACAATAAAAACCAGAATGATCTAGAACTCCACGTCTAAGCAATGATGTCTACAAAATGACCTACAACCCTTTTCTGAGTGACTCTCATGTCCAGGACTGGAAAAACAGAATTATAGCAATAAGAATGGATACAACTCAGAAGAACCTAGGAAGGGACAAGAGAGAGAACCATCAGAACAACAGAAAGAGACTGTCACTATAAGGGATTCCCTTATAGGGGAGGAATTCTGTTTAGGAAACACTTAAAAATATTCTCCTCTTTACAGAGTTCACCCAAACTCAGCATTAGCATCATCCAGAGAGATATTCTGGAAGCAGGGAGATGAGCCACACAAAGGGTTCTAGAAAAATGAGTACCATGTGGAGGATCCTGGAGGTTGAACACCACTGTGTCAGAAAGAGGATTCAGATGAATTTCAGCTGATAAATGGCTGCTGGGAGATGCAGGAACAAATGCTGTTCCTGGAGCACTCAACCCCTCCTGGAGAATGTCCTGGTCCTGGACAAGGAATGGACCCTGAAAAAAGCAAAATAAAATAAGCCGGCTCTTCTTGTATCTCTAGAAAAGGGACTCACCTAACCATTATGGACCTCTTTCTGCCCTCAATCTAGAACTGCAAGATCACAAAGACCCACCTCAAATATGGAGCATCAAACCAGCAGTAAAGCTTTGCATTGAGAACAATGGAGCTGCCCTCTAGCCCCCTCACGGCACTGGTGACCTCTCCCACAGGAGACTGTACAGAACGGTGGCAACAGAAGCCAGACCTGGGTGTGGGTTAAGGAGGGAATGGAAGTAACAAGCAGTAATTAAGAGCATGGATTTAGCTTCAGACCTAATTTTTTATCAGAATTGGATTCAATCACATCTCTTCTATTTATTTACCCCTTTACTTATTCCTTCCTGCTCCAACACAAGTAACATTGGAGTAGGCAGCTAGATACTTAGCTTTGCTGCTAGCTCAATGTCTGACCTAAGGCAATCCACAGAATCTTTTTGTTTCAGTTTTCTTGTCTCTCAAATGAAAAAGGATGGGTTAATAATTTGTAAAGATATAAGCTCTAAACTTCTTCATTTTTATGATTAAAACAAATAAGCCTATCCTTGTGGCCAATGCCAAGTTTGAGTTATGGTTCAGACTTCTTCACAGAAATATTTTTAGTGGGCTACAGATTTATAGAAAAAAAATTATGCACATGAGGGGCTATCTTAAAAGTCCCAATCTAAAGGTCAAGAATGTAAAATCTTATCAGAAACAAATATCTCAACCTAACCCCTTGTCTTGCAGAATTCTCAGTAAGGGGGACACAAGGGGCGGTTTGGTTAGATCTGGAAAGCTTCGTTCTGCCTATGCCTTTTATGCTCCAAGCTTTTACCACCATTTCAATCGGAATTATAGAAATAGCACATATGCTCATATGCTTCTGTTTAGGGGAATACTTATAACTAACATCTTCTTCAAGGTGTTCAACTAGACTCAGCATGAGCAGGTTTCATCTAGGGTAGCAAAGTGGAAACAATGCTTTTGTTTTGATTGAATTGGGCCCAAAAACCTTAATCATAATTCCACTTCTCTGCAAATATGTTCTGTAATCTGAATAGCATATGAACCTGCTTTAATTTGCATTAAGTTGCTAATTATTAATGAAAATTACAGGGTCACCCACCAGCCCCACTCAATTCTTTTCTTCCCTCCATTCACTCCCTACTCCCAGCCTTTCTCACTTTTAGTGCTGGTCCATCAAGGTCTTTCTGCAGCTCCTCTACCAGGGCCACAGCCTCCTCGCCACTGCCAGGACGATGGAGCTGCACCCAGGTCCGAATCTCCCCAGGCAGGATGCTCAGAAACTGCTCCAGCACCAGCAGCTCTAGGATCTGAGCCTTGGTGCGTGCTTCTGGCCTCAGCCACCGGCGACAGAGCTCTCGGAGCCGGCTCAGAGCCTCCTGGGGTCCAGATGTCTCATGGTAACGTAACTGTCTAAAGTGCATGTGAGAGGTCTCCCAAACAGAGGAGCTGCTCCCTTGGAAGCTGGTTCCCCATTTCCACGTATCATCCTTCCCTTTCACAAGACCCTCTTGTCTCAGAGCATTGTGGGCCCAATTTTCTCTCGTCATTGTTGCCTTTTTAGAAAGGTTCCTCTCCACGTCCCCTTAATTCTTGCTTGATTTCTTCCTTAGAACTTGGAGAACTTCATCTATAAGACCTCAAAAAATCATTGTTAAAGTTAGCCCACAGAAACAACCAAGTTTTCCAGACCCGTCAACTGCCAGTAATAAACAGAATCCTGAAAGCAAGTGTCTACGCTCCAGAGAGTGCTTCCTCTAATAGAAACCCTCTGCCTAAGGCCAGAGGACACAATACTCCTGAAACCAAACACATGGAATTCCTTTGGTCTTTATTCATAAGAGCTCTTCCATTTAATTACAATAAACTATTTACCATTTTAGATTTTTAGATATTTCTGTAATATCTTTTTAGATATTTCTGTAATCTGATATGAGCTTTTTAGATATTTCTGTAATCTGAACACATTACCTCACTCCTAAACCTTAGTTTCTTTTAAAAAATTTAAAAATATTTTTTAGTAGTAGATGAACACAATACCTTTATTTGTCTTTATGCAGTGCTGGGGATTGAACCCAGTGCCTCACATGTGCTAGGCAAGAGCTCTACCACTGAGCTACACCCCCAGCCCAAGCCTTAGTTTCTTGACTTGTAACACAGGGATAATAGCCGTTCTTACTTTACAGCATTGCAGGGTTGTTGTGAGAATATGATGTCTAAATACATTTCAAGTTGTTTTTTTAATTGGTGCATAATTGGACAGAATAGTAGGTTTCACTGTGGCATACTCATACATGCAGATAACATAATTTGATCAATTTCATTCCCTAATCTTACGCTCTTTCTCACGAGTGCTTTCTCTCTCTCTCTCTCCACTTCCTTCCCTTTCTCCCTCCCTCCCTATCTCTCTCTCTGGTGATACTGGAGACAGAAGCCAGAGAAACACTTTATCACTGAGACATACCCAGCCCTCATTTCAAGTTTTGAACAATACCTGATACATAGATTCAAATGTTAGTTATCTTTCTATAACAAGCACTCTTTCCTATGTTATACAGTCAACAAGTAATCATGATTTTAACTCTTATGATGGAAAAAAATTCTAAAATTCAATTAACAAAAAAGGCTGAATTGATTTCTGTGTAGTTTGCTGTATATACTATCTAATTAATTATCTGATAATCATTTATTCTGTTAAAATATTTGGATAACTATGAATAAAGTTTCATTATATAGAACTTAGGCTCACTGCTCTCTAGAAGTCACCTGATCTTTAAAACTATTATTTATTTTTCTGATTATAAAACAGAAAGTTTGTAAAACTGGGAAACATGCAAAAAAAAGAAACCCGAAAATAATAATTGCTGTTGTTCTGGAGTATGTCCTTTTTCAACGCACCAATTTGTATCACAAGACTGGATCTGACTATATTACTCTATAACTTGCTTTTCTTGCACAGTATGTTGTGAAAAAGACATTAAGTATTGCTTGTTGCTTTTGAGAGGTGTATGAGTCCAATCATATTTAAGTAGTTCCCTGATCACTAGATATTTAAGATTATTTGTAATTCTCCCCTATTACAAATAAGGATACAAAGAGTATCCTTGCTGATGAATTTGGGGTTTCATAGCTGATTATTTCTTCAGGAAAAATTTCTAGATACAAATGTTTTTAATCTTTTAAGGTGATAACAGTTACATCACCACCAGTGACATATGAAAGCATTTTCATCAATTTTATTTAACAGAGACATTTAAAAATAACTAAACAAGGGAGGCAGAAATATAAACACAATTTTAATTAAATATGTAAATACAACTAATAGAATAAAGACAGAAAGTATTTGTGAAAGGTAATTTTAGATTGGGCTTTAATGAAAAAAAAATCAGGGAAGCCATTCCAGGAAGAAAGATACTGCATTTTCAAAAACAAGGAGTAACAGCACATATCCCTCTATTAAAAATGGGTTTTCCAGAGCTGAGCATTGTACCACATGCCTGTAATCCCATCTAATGGGGAAGCTGGTGCAGGAGGATTGCCTATTTCAAGGCCAACCTGGCAAATGTGTCAAAATAAAAATTTTAAAAGGGCTTAGGAATAGCTTAGTGGTAGAGCACTTGCCTAGCATGTGTGAGGCCATGGGTTCAATCATTAGTACCAGCAAAAAAAAAAAAAAAAAAAAAAGGAAGAAATGGACTTTGCAGTGCTTACCTAGCATATATTTGATCAAGCTCTGGATTTGATCCCCAGAACCACACACAAACACACAAAAAAGAGAGAGGTGGGGGAAAAAAAGAAAGAAGAGGAAAAAAGATAGAAAAAATTTTAAAAAGAAAGAAAGAAATGTGCTTTGCAAACCAGAAGAGTAAAGTAAACTTCAGAGGCAAGATTATAGATATAGACTGGGGTTGTGGCTCAGCAGTAGAGCACTCGCCTAGCATGTGCAAGGTCCTGGGTTTGATCTTCAGCACCACATAGAAATAAATAAAACAAAGGTATGTGTCCAACTACAACTAAAAAATAAACTAAAAAAAAAAAAGATTACAGGTATAGAGCAGGAAAAAAAGATTACAGGTATTGAGAGACAGAATAAGGAGAGATCATGTCCTATGAGCAATGGGCAACTATTAGAATTTGTCCCGCATTTTCCCCTTTTATTCTTAAAAACATAACAAATTTACTTGGTTAAACATTTACTTGGTTTAAAATTACAAAACACATGCTGTGTTATTTCCCTCTCCCTGTTAGTTTTTTATGTAGTTTTTCTAGTTATTTGTGTCATACACATATACACATAAGGTTTTGTATTTCCTTGTTTTCACAATGGTAGAATACCATGAATAATGTGCTGTTTTCCTTTTCTCAATTTTCCTGTCCATACATATCCCCTCCCCCTCATTTTTGTAGATGCACTATAATTTATTTATCCACTTATGGGACATTTAGGCAGTTTTTAATTTTTTCCTAATACCAATAATATTATCATTAATAACCCTGGGCATACATCAATTTGCACGTGTGTAGGCACACATAGAAAAATTACTTAAAGCAGAATTACTGGGTCCAAAATTGTGTGCATTTTAAATTCTGATCTTACCATTAGGCCTCATAAGGATTGTACCAAATCACAATTTACAATTCACAGCATGAACTGTGAGGGAATGCCTGCTTCCTTACTCTCTCACCAATGTTACTGTCAAAGATTGGGATCTCTGCCAAATTTTTAACTGGCACTTTGAGTGAAAAGTCATTTTGTTAACTATTCACATATTTTGCCCATGATTCTATTGAGTGCTGGATCTTGTTAATTTGTGTACTCTTTGTATCATAGGAAAATCATTTATTTGCTTACTATGGGAATTGCAAATTGTGTCTTTGCAACTTTGTCACAGATCATGTGACTTTACTTATTATGTTTTTGCCATGCAACTAATCTTTTCTTTTTATTGCTTCTGGGTTTTATGCCATGGTTACACAGACTTTTCCCACTCTGGGCCCTGAAGGGAGTCTTATATGGAGTCAGGAATTGATAAGGGAGGAATGATGGGGGAGGGAGGTTCATATATCAGGAAGGCCAGTTAGGTTTTTGCAACAGTCTAAACAAATGATTAAATTCTAAAAGCAGCAGCAGCAGGGATAAAACAATTGAGAAAACTTAGCAGTGTTTGGTGATCAACCTAAGAGTGATGGAGTGGAGTCTTTTAAAAGAATGTTAAATAATTTCCTACAGTAAGTTATCAGTACTCTATCCACACGTACTTTACCAATAAAAATAATATATTTTAAACACAGATTTCCGTTGCTTCTCACAAAAGGTTTATGAAGCAGAAATTACAAGTAAAAGATACAGAGGATTCACACAAGTCCTCTCAGTTAAGTTTTGGGAGCAAATTGTGAATTCAGGAACCTAACTCCAAAGTCCAAAATAATTCTATCTACTTATGAAACCCAAACAACAGCTGTTCTAAAACAATGGTTTCCAAACATGAATCCATGATAAAACTTTAATCTGGCAAGCTGCAAAAAGAGAAAAGCAATGGCCATACACAGTCACTGACAGGTTGGCAGTGACTTTTTGTTTTTCTCTGCAAAGGTCAGCATGTATTCTGAGTTTACAGTCTTAGTAAGTGTGTTCTCCGAAGGAACAGCAGTACACACGGTTCCGCTCTTCCAATACCGATATATTACAAAAGTAAAAGATGGCAACTGGTCCAGCCTAAAAATCAAAACAAAAGCGTCTCCAGCAGTGGCCGGCCACTGCTCCAGGGAAGTTTCAAATTGTTAATGAGCATCAGCCTCAGAGAAGACTGAGCAAGAGCAGAAAGGCCTGAGCTGGGGAACCTGGCTATTGAGGCAGCTGTCCTGTTTGACTCCACACCAGTCCATCACCACGTACAGACCCAGGTCCGGTCGTCAACACCTCTCCCGCGCCGGCCGTGTGCCCAAGCCAGGCCACGGCGCTGACCGGCGATGACCCGGCATCCAGCTGAGGAGCGTCTGCGAGGAGGGTCAGCGCCCCGGAGGGCCGGCAAGGGCGCGAACCTCCCTCCGCGCATGCCCACCCGCCGACCCCACCCCGCTCACCAGGGTTCCTCTCGCAGTCTAGCCCTGGGTACTGTCGCCTCGGTGGCAGGCAGCTAGGAGATGACACTAGAACCCAACGCGGCACCGGACCAGTCCCAAAATAATGGCCGAGCCGGGGACATCCCGACTTCCGGTTGCTCACCGCCCCAATCGCCGACTCTCTATGAAGACACGTCTCTATGGTCCGTGGTTTTCCCCAGAGGAGGCGAGGAGGGGTGGAGCTCCTAGGCCCGTGGATCTTCAGATTGTTGGTCTGTAGGCCAATTTTCTGATATAAGGCTGGGGATACCTCGAGGAATCACAAGATGTTTGACCCTTGAAAGATGTCTATTGCTGGTCCTCAAAATTAGCCGACTGCGCGTCCTGCATCTCCACCCCCGAGACACACACACACACACACACACTCTTTTCAGTTGTATATGGCCAGCAAATGCAGAACACTTAAATTGAATGAAGCTAAAGTTCAAACCAGAACTGGGATATTACTAAAAGAATATAACATAACTTGTGGGTCACCCTCTTTCACATTTCATTTACTTCCGACATGAGTCCTTTGAAATAGATAATATTGTCATAGCTTTAATGATACTGAAAGTGTTTCATAATTCTCTGCCTAATAACTAGCAAGTTATTGAAATTCAAGGAAAGTGCTCTTTCCACCAACATATGTAAGCTTTTGTCCACACTGAGGCAAGCAAACCACTCAGGATTGGAAGGCAAGAAGCAGATGGGGAGAAAAGTCAGGAAAACCAGTGTGAAGAGTGTCTTCAACCTCCTGAATGTTTTAGCCATGGTTGGCTTTTAGAGAACTCATGTCAATGTGAATGAAAACCTTCATTAATATGCCTTGTTCACAAGGAATCCATCTAAATGTTTGACAATCTGATGTAGGGTAGAAAGCAGGGAGGTTGCTTCTGGAGTTCACACCAACTGGATTTTTCATATAAGTTATAACTATTGAATACACTCTGCTCTGGAGAGGCCCAAAAGTGGTGGGTTAAAAAAAAATTTCTTAAAAGGTATAGTAAAGAAAATGTTAACTGAGGCCCTTCCTTGCTTTAGGGTTTTGGAAAAATAATGGATCAAGTTACAACACAGAAAGAGAATATTTTCAAACATTAGAATTCTTTGACAGATATTAAAAGTAGATTCTGCTTGCTATTTAAAGAATATGCCCTTTTTGCTCTATTACATGGTCAGCTCTCCTACCCTTTAATTTTTTGTACAGCTGTGAAGAAATGTCTGATACCCATCTTGGGTCAGGAATGGATCCTTGTTCCCCAGTGTTGAAGATGAAAAACCTGAGAAATGCTGAGGCAAGCATAGAAAGCAAGTTGTATTTAACAAAGTGATGGCGACTGACTTCTCCGAAGAGAAAGGGGGCTTCAGAGTTGGAAAACCCATGTGTGTTTGTGTGTGTGTGTGTGTGTGTGTGTGTGTGTGTGTGTAGGGATCAGCACAGTGGGCTCATTTTATAGGATTGTTCTCTTACCCTCGTGTTCCCTCCATCCTCATCTATCTGTCCCTTTACCACTCTACCCATCAAATGGCTATAGAGCTCTGATTTATATGAGTATGAAAATAACAAGCTTCATATAGAAGAAAGTCAGAATCACTTTATTCTAAAAAGTCAGCTCCTTGAAGAAAAGCAGATTGAATTGCTTTCTTCCTACTCTGAAAGAAGGTAGAAAAGAAAAGGCCAGTAACATAAGAATAGCAGAAGTTTATTGGAAGAATTATCACTATTTCCTGCAAAACCAATTTTATGACTCCAGTTTAATAATATTAGAAGTGACTAAAACCAGTCTGGTAACTAAAAACCATTTAATAATATGAGCATCCTTTTATTTACACTGGATGGAAAAATTAAAAAAGGAAGTCTGTCACTGAAGCTATAGACCTGCAATAAAATCCAGTTATATTAAATTATATTATATTAATTATTATATTAATTGCAGTTATAGTAAATGAGATTTCACATCTTCCTCTCATCTAAGAAAGCACACATTTTTATTCCACAGAGAACAGTTCTACATAATCAGGATATAGTGGCTAAAAATAGTACCTCTTCATATGCCTCAGGAAAATTCAGGGAACTAAAACCATGAGATAAGGTGACAACACAGGAAGCCGGCAGATGACAAAAACAAGGACGGATAATACACAGTACTGTCATGATGTACATTTCAAGAGGGCAGGGTTTCTGAATAGGAAAGAAATGGCAGTACAGAGAGGTACACGGCTTGAGGGAGACAAAAACTAGTAATTGAGGGACTTCAGAGGAAGCACTGCCCTAGGGAATAGCCAGGTTCCACTGGAACAATGTGAAGAAAACACACTCAGAAATAGCCCCTGAATTCAGAGGATATTATGAGAGGAGTTTAAGAATGGTCATAGCTGCAGGTTAAACTCCAAGGCAAGAGCTGACAGTAAGGGTTTCAAGGGACTATGTTCCTAACATTCCTGGGCCAAGAAAGTGATCTTTTCTATTCAGATCCTGGATATTGGATAACATGATATCCATCCTAGAAGGATACTCTATTTACTCTATTTAATCTTAAAGATCACAGAGTCTTTCTCGATGTAAAAGAAAGCCTATCTGAATTCTAGATAATATGACATAGCAATGGGAAAATGATGACATCATGATCAGAGAATGGCTGCTCAGCAATGAATGCTCCTGAATGCAGCAAATCTGTTCCACACTGCACAAACCTGCTTTGACTATGCAAAGAGGACTATTATGTCACAAAACTGTGTAGAAACCACTATCCAAAAATCAGGACAAAGCCAAACAATCCTGTTTTACACAAATATACACCTTTCACACTCTTCACTTCTTTCTTTCCAGTAATTGCAAGGAAGATATATATATATATATGTGTGTGTGTGTGTGTGTGTGTATCCCTTTAAAACTAAATTATGAGGTAGAGATGGGCCATATATCTCAGAAAAAAATAGCATCTTCCTTATGAAACCAATGTCAAATAATTGTCCAGATACAACCACCTTTCATAGAGGTGGATGCCCAGGAGAACCCCACTCATACACAGAACCACCATGGCAGAAGCACTTTGGTATAATGAAGAAATTATGGACTTCAAAGTCAGATCTCGGCTTAAATCCTGGCTCCAAGCACTAATTAGCTTGTCACCTAACCTCACTAATTTTCTTATACAAAATGTTGGATTGAATAAGATAACAAATCATTAGTAATTCCTAAAACAATGAATCACTATGTATAAGACAAATGACAATGGGCTTCGGAACTTACTATATACAAAGAAAAGGAATGTGGAGATTCAGGGCATGATGGTGGTGCATGCCAGAATCTCAGTGACTCAGAAGGCGGAGGCAGGAGGATCTCAAGTTTAATGTCAGTCTCAGCAATTTAACAAGACTCTCAGCAACTTTGCAATACCTGTCTCCAAATAAAAAGGAGTAGGGATGGAGCTCAGTGGGAAAGCATCCCTGGGTTCAATCCCCAGGGCTGCTCCCCCACTATGGCAGGAAAAAAAAAAAAAAAAGAATGGAGAGAGTCTAACTGTTGCCGGATGCATTTTGAATAGGACTTAAAACATTTTGAATACTGGTTGAAAATGGGTATAGGCCTTCTTAAAGTGTTGGCTATAAAGAAGGCAGAGAAAGCTGGTGAGCATGCATCTGTAGTACTGACTACTCAGCATTCTTCCCTCCCTGCTTCTGAGGAAGATTTTTCTCAATGATAAAAGAAAGAAACCAGATTGGAAAGCCTCAGCTCCTTTCCCCAATTCCTAACTTTGTAAGAGTTGTATGAAGAAAACAAACTTGCAGCAACCAAGATTATGAAAAATGAGCCAATATGGCTAAAAATCATGCTGTTAGATAGAAAGTTTGTTGAGTTGCCAAACCAAACTCAGAACTACTTACTACTAGACTTCTTAAGTTTTTACACTTGGTATCCTGTTCATTACCTGAAAACATACTGTTACCTTTGGCAAAAGTTCTGTCAAGTGTTTCAAAACATTGCTATAATACTTGTATACCACTACAATAGCCTACTCTTGGGCTATTATTATTTACCATGTATCAGGCTTGTCATCCATTATATGCACAATTTTATTTAATCTTCACAGCAATCCTGTGAGGCAGAGAATTATTCCCTTTTTACAGAAAAGTCTGAGCGTTTAAATTGACTTGTCTAAAATTGACAAGTGAATACTTGGCAGACTTGATATTAGAACACAGATCACCTACTAAGCTCTATACAAGATGTGAAGGCACTTTCACTACTTTTATTATGTAATGATTCCTGGAACTCTTTATAGTTTTTGAGCCTAGGATTGATTCAATTTCATAAAGGAACATGTTTTTCTAGTTGCCCAGACACATACTGGAAAGATGGAGCCTATATAGTACTTCATCATCTGCAGATCCTTCCACTACTGAGGGAAAGTAAGACACCCTAAATATTTTCCTGTTCTTTTCACCTAACAGCGATCACACACTTTGTTGACAACTCTATAGTCAATTTATCTTAAAACTGCAAAAGACAAAGTATAATTTTACTACCAGGAAATCACCTGTAGAAGGAATTGACTCACTCATGGTTCCACTACAGCTAAATGCCAGTATTAAGATGTAATTCTGAGACTTTAGACTGTATACTATGCGTCTTTCCCAGAACCGTTGAGTGAAAATGAGCATGGACTTACTGTATTTAAAAAATACTATACTTTTTTCCCTAAATATAAAAGTAGAACATTTTCATTGTAGAAAATCTAGAAAGCATAGAAAAGTATACAAAAGAAAATAGAAATAATCTACAATTCTATCACATAGAGATAACATTTTAGTTTGCTTTAAGGTTTTAAAATATTTGATATTTCATTGAAATTTTTCTTTTTTTTTTTCTTACTAGAGGTTAACCACTGAGCAACATCCTTAGCCCTTTTTATTTTTTTATTTTGAGACAGTCCCTTTAAGTTGCTTAGGCTTTGCATCATTGCTAAGGCTGGCCTCAAACTTGTGATCCTCCTGCCTCAGCCCCTGAGTCACCGGGATTACAGGCATGTGCCAACATGTCCAGCTTTATCTTCTATTTTATCTAAATCATTTCCCCATGACATCACATATTCTAGGGCTATTATGTTTACAGTGGCTGCAGAACCATCATATAGATAGAGCAGCATTCATTTAACCCCAACCTATTGAAAACTGAGGTCTCTCCCTCTCATACATTTATGTACGATGCTAGCATGAATATCCCTTTTGTTAACCTTTGTCTATTATTATTTTCCCTATATGGATTCTTACAAATAGAGTTAAAATTAACACTGAAAATTGTTTTTTAGAAGCATTTAGCTATATTACTGCCAATGTTTGTTATTTACAAGGTTTCTTTCTCTTCATTATGTTTTCTCTGATGTTGAATAAGTTGTGAGCTGTAACGATAGGCTTTCCCACACTCACTACACTTATAGGGTTTCTCTTTAGTGTGGGTTCTCAAATGTAGAATAACTTGAGAAGTCTGCCTGAAGGTTTTCCCACACTCATTACATTTATAGGGTTTCTCTCCAGTGTGGACTCTCTGATGATCAATAAGGTTTCGATTAGAAGTAAATGCTTTCCCACACTCATTACATTTGTAAGGCTTCTCTCTTCGATGAAGTCTCTGATGTTCACTAAGGGTCTTCCTTAAGATGAAAGCTTTTCCACATTCATCACATTCATAGGGTTTCTCCCCTGTGTGAATTCTCTGATGGTCCATAATCTTTGTATTAGAACCACAAGTTTTCCCACACTCCTTGCACTTGTAAATTTTTTTTCCTTTGTGCATTCTCTGATGTTGTGTAAGGTTTGAACTGCGACTAAAGGCTTTCCCACACTCAATACAAGTGTAGGGCTTCTCCCCAGTGTGAACTCTGTGGTGTGAAATAAGCCCTGAACTCCGACTAAAAGCTTTCCCACACTCCTTACATTCAAACGTCTTTTCCCCACTGTGGATTCCCTGGTGCCGAATGAGATGTGACTTACCACTGAAAGATTTCCCACATTCACTACAAGTATAAGGCTTCAGTCCAGTGTGGATTCTCCGATGAACCACAAGGTTGGAGCTATGACTGAAGGCTTTCCCACACTCCTTACACTTATAGGGTTTCTCCCCTGTATGGATCCGCTCATGCACTGTAAGGTTGGCACTCTGACTAAAGGCTTTCCCACACTCAGTACATACATATTGTCTCTTTTCAGCCTGAACTCTGTCATGTGTTGCCGGGTCATAGCATTGACTACCATCTTTTTCAGATTCTTGATCACTCACTTCTGTGAATGTTTTACTGTCTTTAACTGCCTTATGTTTGAAGTTTCTTGTCTTTCTCTTCATTTTCTATAGCTTGCAACATTCCAACAGCCTTGCTAGTCTTCTCTTTTCCTTCAGAGGAGCTTTTGAAATTTTGAATTCCTTGGCAACACCTATGTGAAATTCTCTTGAGAGTACAATTCAATTCTGATTTTCCTAGATTGATGCTTTGGAATCAACACCTCCTCAGTCCCAGTTTCAGCATCTGATGGGAGAAACAGAAATTGTACATGTCACCTGTTCTCTGTGCTAGACCCTGTGGTACATCGCAGATCACAGGGTCTTACCTGAAAGGGTAAGTATTCAAAGGCAGAGGAACTAATCAAAAAGATGAGAAAACTTAGCCATAAAGACCAAGTTAAAGGGTTCTGGAAAATCATGAGCTTCTCTTGGCAATAACTAGTACAAAGGGTATCCTGTTTTCCTCTTGCTTCACTTTCAGAACTGTAGCCATTTAACTCCTAATGACAGGCTCAAGTATAATCTGGTACCCAGAAAAAGTAAAATGAAAGATCCTTAGTTCAGTAACTGAAATGATTAATTGTCAGATCACTTTGATTTTTAGTCCTTGCTGACATATTTCCTAAGTACTAGTGATATACTGGTGGGCATACAATAGGCACTCAAAATTTATTTTTATTTTTATAGTGACTGGGACTCTTTTTTTTTTTTTTTTTTGTGGCACTGGGGATCAAACCCAAGGCCTTGTATATGTTAGGCAAGTGTTCCAACACTGAGCCATATCCCCAGCTCTTAGCAACTGAAATTCTGTCTTAGGATATAACTAAGATTTCATCTTTTGCTCTAGGTCCAGGTACTAGGCTCTAGTCTAGGTCTCTGGATTTAAGTCCTATTTTGATAAATGTTAATACATTCTTTCAATACTGAATCCTAGTCACATCACAGCCTACTTTGTAGAGGCTGATCTGTAGCTAGAACCAGAATAATATGCTAGTTTTATGTGTCTGCTTTTCACCATTTACCACACTGGCAGATTGGTCTACTGGATGAACCTGAGAGGCTAAACTGGGAAAGAAGATGAGTTATAATATGACAGAGGAACTCTGATAGGACCTTGCATGTTAACAATCTAAGTGTGGCAAAAGGGAGAGAGTAGGGGACAGGACAACCAAGAGGGCCCAAGACAAGGGTTTTTTGTTTGTTTGTTTGCTTTTTGTTTTTAATTCCCTTGCAGTACTAGGGATGGAACCCAGGGGCATTCTTACTACTGAACTAAAAGCCCAGCACGCCCCCTTTTTTTTGAGATAGGGTCTTGCTAAGTGGCTGACGCTAGCCTCGAATCTGCCATCCTCCACCTCAGCCTCTCTAGTTCCTGAATTACAGACATATGCCATCATACCCAGCTTCTTTTCCATTTCTAAGCTTCTCTGAAATTTAACTTTTCTTCATACAATTCTTAAATTAATAATTATTTAGCACCCTATTCTGTACCCATCACTGTTCTGAGTGTAACCCAAAGAAAATGTAAAGAAACATTGTTATGAACTGAACGTTTGTGTTTTTAAAATTCCTAAGTTGGACCCCTGATACCTGCAATGTTACCATATTTGGAGATTGGGCCTCTAAAGAGATAATTATGGTTAAATGAGGTCATAAGGATGGTCACTTAGCCAAAAGAATCAGTGTCATAAATTATAAGAAGAAACACCAAAGTGAGCTCTCGCTCTCCTGTACTCGGATGAGCAAAGGCCATGTGAACAACACAGAAAGTGGCCATTCACAAACCAGGATGTGACCCCTCAACAGAAACCAAATTGACTGATTTCAGACTTCTAGCCTCCAGAATTTTAACAAAATAATGGTGGCTAAAGTAAGCTAATATAAGAATAAAATATATTTACCTCTAAGAAGCTCTCAATGGAGTAGTATAATAAAACAATAAGAAAGTAAATTACAAATTTACAAATTACCCAAGTGGGAGATGAAGTGGAAGGGAGGAGCAATTACTGGGACTTAGAATGCTAGGAGAAAGGTCTTCAAAAGGCAGAACTTTAGTTGAGCTTCAGAAGAGAAACAGGAATTTGTTTTCTCAAAAGGAAGGTGCACAGGGTTGGTGTACTCACAAATAAGTGGGAAATTACCACTATAGCATACACTTCATGCTGGCAGGGATTTTGTTTTGGAAACTTTTTTTAATATATATATACTGGAATTGAACTCAGGGGCATTCAACCATTGAGGCACATTCCCAGCCTTTTTTTGTGTTTTATTTAGAGGCAGGATCTCACTGAGTTGTTTAGGGCCTTGCTAAATTGCTGAGACTGGCTTTGAACACAGGATCCTTCTGCCTCAGCCTTCTGAGTTGCTAGGATTACAGGTGTGTGCCACCAAGTCTGGCAGGGATTTTGTTTTGTTTACAAGTGTATTTCCTAGGGTCTAGAACAGATATAAGAACTTAGTCTGCACTCAAAATTCTTTTGTTGCTCAATCAACAAAATGAATATATGAAAGACTCAAATTGCCTGAAGTGAATCCAGTCACAACACTAAAACTGCAAGACCAAAAAAAAAAAAAAAAATATATATATATATATATATATAGATAGATAGATAGATATAGATAGATAGATAGATATAGATATAAATATAATTTGATGGTCAATGAGAAACAAGTTCTAAAACAAAGAATGAAATCTACTCTTAATTTTCTTTCCCCATTTTATATTCTGTTTTTCTATCTTGTTTTTCTCCTCTCCTGTTACTCTCATCTTTCTTACTTATAAATTCAGTTTTTTAAGTCTTACCATTCATTTCTCCTAAGGCTCATATTTCCTTCCTCTCTGCTACCTCTGAAAACATTCATGTTTCTCTCAGCTTTATTAAGCGGAAAGCAGAGGAGACAGGCAGCTGAGGTATTCCACAGGAAGTAAACTGAGAGAAATAAAAAGGAAAGAGTTCAAGAGATGTAGCCTAAGAGTAGAGTGATCATATATTTTGGTTTTCCCAGAACCGTGCTGGATTATAACTGCTATCCCAATATCATATTTAATAGTGCCTCTCTTTAACTCACTAAAGCATCCCAGTTTGGATAATAAACTTTGTATCACTCTCTCCAAAAGTGAAAATAGGAAAAGAATATTCTAGGAAGATTAGCCCAGATGGCTTAAAGGGAGGAAAGAAGAATGGAGGAAGAGAAATGAATTAGGAAAAATGTTTGGAAATGTGATATGGATGACCATTGCAGGATCTAGCACTTTGTAGGTGCTCAATAAATGTTTGTTAAATGAATGAACTATGAATGAGACAACAAGGAAGATTGTGACAGGGCAGAGGACAATGAAATCCAGCTATTCCAAGAAAGCATCCACATACATCAGATTGGATACAGAGGATGACTGATGGAAACAATCTAAGGTCATCTGATGCATATCTGATGTATCAAGAATGGTAGTACAGGGGCTGGGGATGTGGCTCAAGCGGTAGCGCGCTTGCATGGCATGCATGCGGCCCGGGTTCGATCCTCAGCACCACATACAAACAAAGATATTGTGTCTGCCAACTAAAAAAAATAAATAAATATTAAAAATTCTCTCTGTCTCTCCTCTCTCTCCTCTCTCACTCTCTCTTTAAAAAAAAAAAAAAAGAATGGTAGTACAGGGGGCTGGGGTTGTGGCTCAGTGGTAGAGCACTTGCGTAGCATGTGTGAGACATTGGGTTTGATTCTCAGCACTGCATAAAAAATAACTGAATAAAATAAAGGTCCATCAACATCTAAAAAAAGAATGGTAGAATTGCCAAACAAGATTTGGAAACGGGAAAACACTTCAGACAAAAGGAGAAGAAATGGAAAAATGTCAAGGATGCAAATTTGAGAATAAGACAGAAAACAGAGAAAGTAATGGAAATGTATAATCTTACAAGCTAGGGATTGGATTAGAAGGGGCAGGTAGGGGAAAAGAAATGCACAGGGATACACTATGAGAAGGTCCAGGATGTTTCTGCAGGACCCCAGTAGGAAACAGGACTAGACAGGAGATCAAGGAGGGTCACTCTAAAGAGAGTTTGATCAAAAGGAAACCTAACTACAGGCTGCCCTTTGCCCAGCTGAATGGAAAACTCCTTCAAAAGTCCTATAAGAATCTCCAGGCATGAGAGAGGTGTGGGCTTTACTGGAGAAGCAGTAAGAGGGGAAGATGAGGCCATTGGGCTAGTAGGACACTATGGGTATTTAGGTAACTGTGCACATAAACTCAAGTTTGGGGCAGCCAGCAAATGGATAAAGCCCAAGAAGACAGAACAGATTTTCTACTTATTAATCTCTGAGACTGGTAGGTAAGTTTTCTGATCCCAAGAAAACCATCCATTTCAGGCTGTGAGGAACTTGCAAAGGGCAGAGTCCTTCTCCCACAAAGAGCAAAAGCAAAAGTGTCTTTACCCAGAGAAGCTGTATTCCTTTAATTCACTCGTGTCATCTGTCCCTCTGAGTACTGGTCACATGGTCCTTGGTCATTAACTGCAATGTAGGGAAGGAATGAGAGGAAATACATGAAAATATATTCAAAAGACAGATGGGTAAAATATGAAAATTGGAAGGAAAAAAACACAAAATAACAACAATAACAAGAATATAACAAGGGAGTACTTGACCTTAGGTAAAGACAAGCCTTTAGGATTCAAGCATGAAATAAAGGCTGTATCCACAATGCAAAAGCTGATATATTTGACTATATAAAAATTTCTACACTTAAAAAAAAACCCTGACCATAACAGATATACAATATAAACTGGGCTTTATGCGAGAATTGCTCATGTGTATTCTATGCCCCTCATACTCACATGTACACATTAAACACTAAGTCACAAGAGAGCAGGGCTCATGAT